CTCAATTTCAGCCTCTCCACTTGAAAAATCTGAAATTTCCTTACACATTCAATGTAAATTTACTGATGTTCAACCTCATACCCAAATGCCCTCTGTGCTTGTTCTTAAAACCTCCCATGCTATCCGTTAAGAACAAATTGCCTACTTAGTTCATTTTCTGCGGTTATAACTAAAACTGGGTGAGTTATAAGGAATGGAATTTATTTCTTGAAGCTCTGGAGGCTGGGAAATCCCAGGTTGAGGGGCCACATCTGGCAAGGGCCTTCTTACTGGTGGGGACTCTGCAGGGTGCCGAGGTGGCACAGGGCATCACATGGCAAGGGGCCTGGGCATGCTCACGTGCTAGCTCAGGTCTCTCTTCCTCCTATAAAAAGTCTCCAGTCCCAAGCTGGGCTCGGTGGCTCAGCCTGTAATCCCGCGCTCTGGGAGGCTGAGGTGAGTGGATTGCCTGAGCCCGCGGGTTCAAGACCCGCCTGGGCAACTTGGTGAGACCTCATCTCTACAATAAAATCAAAAAATCAGCTGGGCGTGGTAGCGCATGCCTGTAATTCCGGCTGTTCAGAAGGCTGAGGCAGAAGGATCGCGAGAGCCCAGCAGGTCAAGGTTGCAGTGGCCGGGAGCAGCCACTGTACTCCAGTCTGGGGGACAGAGTGAGACTCCAACTCAAAAACAAAAAAAAGTCACCAGTCCCATGCTCAAGGTAGCTCATGAATCTCTTAACTGATTAACCCATTAGTCCATGAGTGGCTATAGTCCAGTCATGAGGGCAGAGCTGTCATGACCCAATCATCTGTTAAAGGCCCCACCTCTTACTTCTTACTGCAGAATGTTTAAAAATAAAGAAGGTGAGTGCAGTGGCTCACATCTGTAATCCCGGCACTTTGGGAAACCAAGAGATAGAACTGCTTGTGCCTAGGAGTTTGAGACCAGCTTGGGCAACATAGTGAGACCTCATCTAAACAACAACAACAACAAAATTAGCCATATGTGGTGGTGTGTGCCTGTAGTCTCAGCTACTCAGGAGGCTGAGGTGGAAAGACTGCTTGAAGCCCAAGAGTTTGAGGCTACGGTGAGCTATGATCATGACACTGCATTCCAGCCTGGGACAGAGCAAGACCCTGACTCTACAAATACATAAAAAATATAAATCAAGGCCTCATCTCCAATAATGCCACACTGGGGATTAAGTTTCCACAGCAGTGTGAAGGGGACAAGTATCCCCAGGTTCAAGAAGCTTAAGATCCATGATTTTAAGTTCTTTCCAACCCAGTCTGTCCGACAGCTCACCATGCTGGTGGATGGTGATTTTGAGGAAGTGCTGACTCACCCTTGCTTCCCAGAAAGGCAGCTCAGTAATAAAGAAAATGTGACAAAGCCCAAGAGTCTTTCAGGAGAGCCCTGAATAATTACCTGAGAAAATGAGCCTGACTCACAAAAAGAGCCAGGAAATTAGTTAAAATTAACTAACGCAAAAAAATAAGTTATTGAAAACTAGGTAAATTAAAAGGTCATGTTGGAAGGTGAGCAGAATTAAAACTTTAAAACAAGCTCACGAACGCTGACTAGTCCAAAGTCATACTCTCCATTTCTGCTCAATGTAAGGTACAACCAACAAGAAAGGTATCAGTAGCTGTGACAGATTCTTAGAGCGGCTAAGTTAGGAGCATGGCCTTAAAGCCCAGACTCGCTATTTATATATATCCGAACTCCGGGATCCTGTTTTCTTGACTGTTTCTCAGTTTATATAGACAGGCAGGGTCATGCGTGTGAAATGCCCCGCATGGTGCCGGGCACAGCGTGCTTCACAAATGGTAACTCTTACAGAAAGGCAGCACTGTGGCCAGGTGCGGTGGCTCATGCCTATAATCCCAGAACTTTGGGAGGCCGAGGCGAGAGGACTGCCTGAGCCCACGAGTTCGAGACCAGACAGGGCAACTTGGCAAGACCGTATCTCGACAATAAATAAAAAAAAAATCAGCTGGGCGTGGTGGCGTATGCCTACAGTTCCAGCTACTCGGAAGGCTGAGGCAGAAAGATTATCTGAGTCCAGCAGGTCGAGGCTGTGGTGGCCATGAACATGCCACTGCACTCCAGCCTGGGCGACAGAGTGAGACTCCAACTCAAAAAAAAGAAAGGCAACCCTGAACTGTGGATGGACAGATACTCATATTCTAGGGCCAGGCAACACTCATGTGTGGACACCAGAGGCTACCAAACCCAGCCGGTGAACAGCGATAAAAGCTTTCACCATCAGCCATAAAAATAAGACAAATATGAAACCGGGCTCGGTGGTTCAGCCTGTAATCCCATGCCTTTGGGAGGCTGAGGTGAGTGGATTGCCTGAGCCCGCGGGTTCGAGACCCGCATCTCTACAATAAATCAAAAAATGAGCTGGGCATGGTAGCACGCGCCTGTAGTTCCAGCTACTTGGAAGGCTGAGGCGGAAGGATCGCCGGAGCCCAGCAGGTCGAGGCTGTGGTGGCTGGGAGCAGCCACTGCACTCTAGTCTGGGCGACAGAGTGAGACGCCTACTCAAAAAAAAAACAACCCCCAAAATAAGACAAATATGGACAAAATACTGAATTTCATAAAAGTAAGATACTTTTCATATACATGTTGAAACTAACGAGCTACTGTTATCCTTTATTCTCATGCTCTTTTCTACTCTTTTGGTGTCAAAGTGTCTTTTATGAAATACTGGTGATAAATTATAGCTTTTTAATAAATTCCTGCTTGGAAAAATAGAGTTGGCAACTGTGTATCAGCCACTCCATCCTTTAAAAAAAAATGCGACTAGTATGAAAAGTGCAAGATAGGAACCTGCGCTCTACAGAGTAAGAGTGTTAGAAATGGAACAGGCCTCAGGGGATTGGACTCCTCAGGAAAGTGGCCTTAAAATGCACTGGAGTCACCTGGGGACACTTTCCAAAACTACGCATGCTTCTTAAGCATATTGAATTATAAAACCACATGCTACAGAAACACAGGAGTACCAAAGGAAGAGGAAGCTGTGGACCCAGGAACCCAGATCCCATGCAGGAAGGGCAAAGGAGGGTCCTGAGGACACACTGGGCTCCAGGCCAATGCAACAAGCAGGAAGAGGATCGCAGTGAGGCGCCAGCATCTCCTGGAAGTCAACACTTGCCAGTCTCAGTCAGCACCCAGCAAGCAGGGGCGCCCAAGGAAGCAGCAGCTCAGAGCCAGCAGCCAGAGAGAGGCTGCCCCGGCCCTAGAGGGGAAGGGGGGTTTGGGGAAAACAGAGTCCCACAGGGCTGGCAACCTAGAGCGTGCCTTAAGGCACAGACTTCTGGCTGAGGAGCCCTTGCAGGGAGAGGCCAAAGTGTGCAGGGACAACTGGAAGACATCCGGCAACACATGACATGAATCCTCACGAATGACTGCAACAAAAGCCATAACTGCATGCTGTGTGCGTGGGAAAAGCAGGGGAGTGTAAGGCAGCCACATCCCAACCAGGACAAGTCAGTAATGCCTAAAGTTGACAGCCCACAAAGGAGCAGGATGTACAGGCCGTGGGAAGTATGGAGATAAACTCCGACAGCCACAGTCCAACAGGAAAAGCTTCTGGGGACTACGGGAAAAGGGAAGCCACACACCTAGCGTATTAAAAACTGATGTGTATCCTAAAACAAACTGATTTTAAGAAAGTTGCTAGAAGACTACAAAAAAACGAACAGTGGCACATCTGTGAGCTAGAACAGGGAATGAGAAAGCACATTAACCTTTCATTTGATATACTTTTGCATTGTTTTCCTGTGAACATCTGCTATTCTTAACATATAGTTTTCATGCCTTAAAAAAAACAAACTAATCAACTGAGCATCATTGCTAATGAGAATTTAACTTGTCCCTCAGGCTGGCTGGAACCAAAAAAGTGAGACCTGTCGATCTATACCCAACGAAGTCCAGGCTGGACCCATGATGGCACCAGACCACCACTGGAGGCTCTCTCAGGACTTCTGGGGACCCAGGGCAAGAGCCCCTTCTAACCTCTCCCTGCTTCAGGAAATGAATTCACATAAGGATATATCCCAACATCTTTGCGTATTTACAGGTCCCTATGCTTAAGGGAAGGAGTCTAAGACAAAAGACCTGCTGGAGGCCCAGCCTTGAGCGAGCCCAGAGGGAGGCCATTGCTGAACACCACCACACTGGAGCATCTTGTTATCTAACAACAGGAAACTGCTGTCCTGCCCCTATCCAGATGCTATCAAATGCTAAAATTCTGCTTTCTGATGTGGTAAAACATTTCTTTAAAAACAATTTTTTTTTTTTTGAGTTGGAGTCTCACTCTGTCGCCCAGGCTGGAGGGCAGTGGTATGCTCCTGGCCACCGCAACCTCAACCTGCTGGGCTCTGGCGATCCTTTCGCCTCAGTCTTCTAAGTAACTAGAACTACAGACGCGTGCTACCACACCTGGCTAATTTTTTGATTTTTATTGTAGAGATAAGGTCTTGCCAAGTTGCCCAGGCGGGTCTCAAACCCGCGGGCTCAGGCAATTCACTCACCTCAGCCTCCCAAAGGCACGGGATTACAGGCTGAGCCACTGAGCCTGGCTCTTTTAAAAATTTAAACAGACTTTAAGAGATAAAAGAACGGCAAGTTAAACTGAATGTTAAGACATCTGCAGGAACAGAAGGACTGCAGCAAGGATGAGAACCACAGAACCCCACTGGACACTCGGCACAAGGTGTTTCACTCTGCAAGGAAGTTTCCCCTATTTCTCTATCTTTTCTCCTTCCTAGAGCGATGAATGGCAGCAACCACCCTCCCGGCCCAGCCACGCACCAGGCTGAACAGTGAGACTGCTGCGCTTCACACCAGCACCTCCCAAAACTCCACCTTTCTCTCACCACGCTGTTCACAGGAAAACTGTCCTCCACTCAACTAGAAGCACCCAAAAAACTAGAGCAGAGAAGTGAAACTCATGCAAATGAATGAGAGGGGACCAACGATTTTAAAGTACTGACTTAGAAACAGAGTCTACTGGCACAAACTCTATTTAATCATATTATTAAAACAGCAATAATAGAAATGAAAGCTACATTAATGAAAAACAAACTCAGGAATGAGGTCATTAAATACAACTACATTTTAAATACAGATACCATGTATTTCCCAATTAGTGTCAGGCAAATATCTAAAACTATCCTGAATTCTTGTCTCAGAGAAAAAGATCAGAGACAATTACACAGAGGATGCTTTATGTTATCAGGTCCATTCTTAAAACAGGAAAATCCTTTGGGAAAATCATTTCAGTCTTTCTTTTTGTCAGAGATTTCTGTTGCTCCTTCTGTTGGTAATCCATTCATGTCTGCAACCTAAAGTGAAAAAAAAACATTTTAGAAATTATGATAACAAAAATATACTCATCATGGGAGACCTTCTCTTTTTAAAAAAGGTAATAAACCTCAGGGTGAAAAACTGTTGCTTCCAGAAGTGTGCTGGATGCTAAATTAGCACAAGTGAGCACAGTCTAAGTTGAACCTAATAAGCACCAATTCTAAAGACCAGAGTTGCCTGCTCATTTAAAAAAAGAAAATTTTTTTTTTTTTTTTTTTTTTAATCTTGGTCGGGCACAGTGGTTCACACCTGTAATCCTGGCACTTTGGAAGGCCGAGGTGAGAGGATTTCCTGAGTACACAGGTTTGAGACCAGCCTGGGCAACTTGGCGAGACCTCATCTCCACAATAAATCAAAAAAATTAGCTGGGCGTGGTGGTGCATGCCTGTAGTTCCAGCTACTTGGAAGGCTGAGGTGGAAGGATCACCTGAGCCCAGCAGGTTGAAGCTGCAGTGACCGTGGGCATGCCATGGCACTCCAGCCTGGGCAACGGAGTAAGACCCCAACTCAAAAAAAAAAAAAAAAAAAACTCTGTGATCCTTCCAACTGGATCTCTTCCCAAAGTGACCCTCCAGGAAACTGGCTGATATCAGCATCACATCACGTCTTCTTACCACTAGCCTTACCACCCAGGAAATGCTGGCTACAAGGCAAGGAGCAAACACACTCCTCAGAGGCCTACTTAAAACCTTCGTTTAAGTCAATGTTAGATAAATTATTGAAGCTTCTGGTTCCAAAAGTTGCTTTTCCAAAACCCAAGGACCACCCTATCCCATCCCGTATTCCAGGGATCCGAATACTCTTACCTTACAGTTCATGTTGCCTTTATTTTTATCACTGGATTCTTGTACAGCTTTTCTAGGCCACATACGACTCACAAAAGGAGAAATCAGAGGGTATATGTATGGCTCCAGGAATTTTTTGTAGACCCACAGCAGAACGGGAATGACGATACACGGAATGCACACCATCGTCCCGGACGTGAGCTCACCTGTCACGCGTGAAGAAGTACATCACGGGTCAGTGACTGAAGGAGTTCACTTGGATTCAGATATCTGAAAAGATTTTTTCTACAGGGAAGGAGAAACTTAGAACATACTATTTGCTAAAAGCAAGAGTTTGTTAAGTACAAATGCTGCTACCTGCTAGGTAATGAAGCCACAGATGATAGAAAGGAAAATGGTAGTAAGGGGCCTGCTGCCACCTTTTCAACCACTGCTCCCTAATCATAAGCGTGATGATAAAGGAAAGACATCAACCCCTGGTAGGTGCCAGGTAGTTCACGTAGATCAACTCATTCAATCCTCAAAACACCCAGTGAGATTGGGTGCCACTACCTCCATCTACAGATTTTAAAAATTGAAGCATAAAATATTAAATTTAGAATAATGACTTATACTCTATTTAAGTGTGGAGTGGACTTAGTGTGAACTAGCTACTGAGTCCCGATCTTCAGGAACTGACAGTATCAACCAGCCAAACACCCAAAACTGAACTCAAATTCTGAAAGATGAGGCTTCCCAGGAGACCTCACTTTGGAAGACTTCAGGGCTGCAAATCAGTTGGCCTTTCCGAGGGAACAACTCTTCCTTGAAATACTTCGTTTGTATTTTTTTTTTTTTTTTTTTGAGTTGGAGTCTCACTCCTTCACCCAGACTGGAGTGTAGTGGCATGCACACTCACAACCACCCTAGCATCGAACTTCTGGGGCTCCAGCAATCCTTCTGACTCAGCCTTCTCAGTAGCCGAACTACAGTCGCACACTACCATGCCTGGCAAATTTTTTTGATTTATTGTAGAGATGAGGTCTTGCCAAGTTGCCTGGGCTGGTCTTGAACCCGTGGGCTCAGGCAATTCACTTGCCTCGGCCTCCCAAAGTGCTGGGATTACAGGCTGAGCCACCAAGCTTGGTCTTCACTTGTATTCTTAAGGACATAATTTAAGATGTATTGAGTAATAGGACATTTTATTTAGTATTATTATATAGGTAAATTGTCGACTGAAAAATTAACACCCCTTATTTCCTTGATTAGAAATCATACACTGGGCTCGGTGGCTCAGCCTGTAATCCCGTGCCTTTGGGAGCCCGCGGGTTCGAGACCCGCCTGGGCAGCGAGACCTCATCTCTACAATAAATCAAAAATCAGCCGGGCGTGGTAGCACGCGCCTGTAGTTCCAGCTACTCGGAAGGATGAGGTGGAAGGATCGCCAGAGCCCAGTGGGTCAAGGCTGCGGTGGCCAGGTGCGGCCACTGCACTCCAGTCTGGGCGACGAAGTAAAACTCCAACTCAAAAAAAAAAAAAGAAATCATATATAGGAACTTCTCAAAGTCAGCAATTTCTTAAAAAAGAACCAATACTGGTTCCAAATATATTATGAAACCAAAACACCTCTTATATTCACAAGGCTTTTTAAATGCCCTAGGGTAGGATGGGTGGCCCTAACAAGAATTAGGACAGTGCATGGGGCTAATAATTTGGTAGGTTAACATTTCTTATTTTCAAAATACAGTAAATTAAGTAGGATCTGCTGGATGAATCAACACCACAACTACACCAAGGCAATTTTATATTTTTTCATAATACAGGTATATAGACAATCCAAACTGAACGTGGTTTTGAAATGAATTACAAGCAAGAGGTATAAAAAAAATGTAAATTTATAATCAAGGCCAGCTATTTGGCAAGGGATTTAAAATTGGATTCTCTCCAACAGTCCTCTAGTCCAATTACAATAAAGATTTAAGACTTTACCAAAATAATTTGTTCCCAATTTTTTTTTTTTTTTGGAGTTAGACTTTTACTCTGTTGCCCAGGCTAGAGTGTAGTGGCACGCTCATGACCACCGCAGCCTCAACCTGCTAGGCTCAGGCAATCCTTCCACTTCAGCCTTACAAGTAGCTGGACCTATAGACATGCGAAACCATGCCCAGTTAATTTTTTGGTTTATTGTACACAAAGGTCTCGTCATGCTGCCCAGGCTAGTCGCAAACCTGTGGGCTCAGGCAATCCTCTCACCTCTGTCACCCAAAGTGCGGGGATTACAGGCATGACCCACTGCACCCTGTTGTTCCCAAATTTAGAAGCACATCTCTGATTAAAATAAGCCAAATGAGTAGTGAGCCTTTCGCAGCATATTTCAAGGAATTATTTTTGGCCAGCAATGTTCAGAATCTGATCTGCAGGGACTTAAGGTGACCTGGTATAACCCTGCTCTCTCTCACAGGTACCACAGAATAGGAGTTAAACTGACTTCAGCTGGCACCTGCTTTCACCACTTTCTCAACAGTGTTTTTGTGCAAATTATTTAACCAAATGGTGCCCTATTTCCTTCATGTGTAAAATGAAGACAATAATAGCACCAATTCAGGCTTGGTGGCTCAGCCTGTAATCCCAGCACTTTGGGAGGCCAAGGTAAGGGGATTGCCTGATCCTGTGGGCTCAAGCCCCACCTGGGCAACTTGGCGAGACCTCGTCTCTACAATAAATCAAAAATTAGCTGGGCGTGGTAGCACGTGCCTGTAGTTCCGGCTACTTGGAAGGCTGAGGCGGAAGGATTGCCACAACCCAGGAGGTCAATGCTGGGGTGTCCGTGAGCATACCTGGGCGATGGAATAGGACTCCAACTCAAATTAAAAAATTAAAAAAAAAATAATAATAATAATAGCACCGACCTCACATGGAAGGAGTGTGGGTTAGAAAATGTGAATACAAACCGGGCACGGTGGCTCATGCCTGTTATCCCAGCACTTTGGGAGGCAGAGGCGAGAGGACTGCATGGGCCCAGGGGCTCAAGACCAGTTGGGGCAACATGGCGATAGCTTGTCTCTACAATAAATCAAAAAAATTAGCTGGACATGGTGGCATGTGCTTGTGGTTCCAGCCACTTGGAAGGCTGAGGAAGAAGGATACCCTGAGCCCAGGAGGCTGAGACTGCAGTGGCAGTGAGCGTGCTACTGCATTCCAGCCTGGGTGACAGGGTGAGACTCTAACTCAAAAAAAAAAAAATAAAAGAAAGAAAGAAAATATGAATACAAAGCTCAGAAGACCATATATATTAGGTGCTTTACATGTATTATAATGAAAAGGAAAAAAAAAGAATCTGTCCAAAGTTCACACAGAGGACACAAGTAGAGGGGCTCAGGCCAGTGTTTCCAGCTCTGCATTCCTAGCCCAGTGCTTTTGCCTTTTCCAAAAACAGTGGTCGTGTTACTCCCTTTCACCAACTCAACCCTTCCCAACAACTGGCAATGCTACCAGCACTGGGTTAAGTTGATGCCTGGTGATCCCTCCCCATCATGGAGATTCACTCTTACCTCTGTAGCTGTGACTTAAATCAGTTTGTACACGTTGTGGTGTGCATAAACTCTCAAGAACAAATACTACCATTTACTCAAGTCACAACTATGGCTTTTATGAAACTTTCCAACTTTCTTCAGAATTAAGCTACTTGTATTTTACCTTAGTTCTCCTAAAGATGTTTCGGTGAGACCTTTTACTCACCACACGTGGAAAACGGGGGTTACAGTCTAGAAGGTGGTCGGAGAGATTCAGGATTCTTTAAATCACTCTCCCGGACAACAGCGCTGTCTAGGGAGTAACCTGCGTCCACTTGGCTCAGCCCAGGGTGACAGTGGAAGGGGAAAAAGGGCCTTGCTCATGCACAGCACAGCAGCGGGGAGCCCCCCCGTTGAGAGGCCTGGCTCCCTTGCAGCAAGACAGTGGGGAGCCCCCGTTGGGTGGCCCGGTTCACGCGCAGGACAGCGGGGAGCCCCCGTTGGGTGGCCTGGCTCGGCGCAGGCGCCAATGGAGCCGAGCAGGGGGCGGGCGGAGTAAGAGACGACGACCGAGGGCAGGAGGGAGGAGAAAGGGCTACTGGTGAGGATCGCCGCGGACACAGACGGTACGAGGCGGAGGGAAGAACGAAACGGATGCGGGGGAGAGCGGGGCGAAGGACCCAGCGGAGGAACGAGACGAGGAAAGTGCTCGGGAGCGGAGCCTACCGTGAGCGCAGCGGGGTGGGGAGGGGAGCTGCTCAACGGCTGGAGCCGGCCGAGCCGCTAGCAGCCCCGGGGAGTGCGAAGCCTGAGCCCACCGCGCCAAAAGCCCGGCCGCCCCAGCCACCCAGCCCATCCCAGCCCCGCTTACCCGCGTCCACGAAAGCCCGAAAGACAATGTCCGCACTTCCGGGGGGCGGGACAAGCCACCGCCGAGCCAATGGGCGGCCCCGCAGGGGCCGGCGAAGGCACGTGCGTCTGCGGGAGGACGCACAGGACCGAGCCGCACACAGAGGGCTGGGCGGGGCTTCCGGCCCATGGGCCTCGCAGGTCCGGACTGCGCAGGCGCCGGAGCCACACCTCCGCCCCGCGGGAAGTCCGGAGCTTCCCTGTTCGGTGCGTGGAAGAGGCGGCAGAAAAGGACGCCCGAGCCTCCGCCCACTGCCCCCCGGGAGCGTCACACCACCTGCGCGGGACAGTTGGCCTATGTCCAACGCAGAGGTAACTAAGCCATTCGCTGCTTTATGTATTTACTTATTTAGAGTCGGAGTCTCACTGTCACCCAGGCTAGAGCGCAGTGGTGCGCTCCCGGCCACCGCAGCCTCCGTCTACTGGGCTCAGGCGATCCTTCCACCTCAGCCTTCCAAGTAGCTAGAGCCACAGGCGTGCCCAGCTAATTTTTTGCTTTATCATAGAGATGAGGTCTCGCCAAGTTGCCCAGATTGGTCTCCAATCCCTGGATCAAGCAATCCTCTCACCTCCACCTCCCAAAGTGCTGGGATTACAGGCATGAGCCACCGCAGCCGGCCCATTCGCTGTTTTAAACACTTGTTTTATGAGTTGGAGTCTCTGTCGCCTAGGCTGGAGTGCAGTGGCACGCTCATGGCCACCACAGCCTCCGCCTGCTGGGCTCAGAGGATCCTTCTGCTTCAGCCTTCCAAGTAGCTGGAACTACAAGCATGTGCCACCACGCCCCGCTAATTATTTTATTGTAGAGATGAGGTCTCACAAAGTTGCCTAGCCTGCCTCGAGCCCGTGGGCTCAGGAAATCCTCTCACCTCGGCCTCCTAAAGTGCTAGGATTATAGGCGTGAGCCATCAGGCCGGCTGCTTTAAACATCTTAAACTGGGGGAGGGAGAGACTAACATTAAAGCCAACTGTGACTATGAGTTGCTTAAAACACGGTTACACCACTTTAAAAGACCAAAAACAGCACTGATACCCACTAGGATGGCTACAAATGGATAGCTAGAGAGGATGTTGAAATCCAAACCCTCGTTAACTGCTGGTGGAAATGTAAAACTTGTAGCCTCTCCGGAAACACCGGCCAGCTCATGCATGTTTACTGAGTTTGCAGAGGCTCTAGCAGTTCCACTCTTGGGTACACATATAAAGGTGACACGCCTAGACATGTACACAAGGGTGCACGGCCACACCCTCTGTAATAGAACTACACACATTTCAGGGAAGGTCCATCTATCCCTATACTAGCACACCCTTCAAAAATGAAAGCATAGGACTATCGATGCACACATGAACCTACTGAAAACGAGCTAAGTGAAAACCAGTGAGACAAAAGGCCACGCGTTAACTGTTAAGTACCCAGCCCAGAACAGGGAAATCTATAGAAAACACATCAGTGGCTGCCTAAAAGTGAATGAGGTGGAAAGTAACAGCTAACCTTTGCAAAATTCCCTTGGAGGATAATGGGATTCTTTAAAAAAAGTTTTTTGTTAGAGATTGAGTCTCCCTGTCACCCTGACTCACCGCTTCCTTGAACTCCTGGGCTCAAACAAGCCTCCAGAATAACTGGGACTAGGTAGTAACGACACTAACTAACTAAAAAAAAACAGCCCATTTTGTAAAGATGAATTCTTGCTGTTGCCCCGAGTGGTCTTAAACTCCTGGGCAGCTGGGACTACAAGTGTAAGTCACAAGGCAGAGTGTATACAAGAGTCTGTGTTTCTAATTCAAATCGTGAGAAAACCCATTTGCTCTATTTTCTAAGGACACTTGAAGTGTTTGCTAATAAAAACAACCATACATGGCAAAGGAGAATTAAAAAAAGGCAACCAACATTCTTTCACTTCTATCTGCATTTATTTCATGCTGAATTTATTCCCGTGCCATAAGTTTTTGTTTCTTCAATTTCTTCTGGGATATCTGGGGGAAGAAAAATAACAGGACTGTCAGATTTCCTGGAGAAATCCAGTGTAACTTGAATGACTTTTACACTGAAGACTGCAGGCAGAAAGCTGGCAAGGATTAAGGGAGGGCAAGAACAGGGGACAATACCTAAAATGATAAAATCCATTGAAGCCAAAATCAGGTGCAGAGAAAAAAGTACAGACCCACTCCCAGATTCCTGACTTAAAGAAGCAAATGTGATCACTGAAAACAAGATTATGAGATTGGGGGAAGGGACCCACTTTGAGACTCATGTTTTGGAAGTGGCTATGCACATCTAGGTGGGCCACCAGCAGATCATATGGTTCTGAAGTATTAGATGCATAAAAGCCAAAACAATACAAATGAAAGGGTTGCTCAGAATAGTTTCCTTTCACGGTTATTCCAAAGGTGTCCTAAGATAGTCATCACAGCAACCCAAGTCTGTCTGTCTAGCACCACACAAAGCTGAGCAACGGGTGACTTGCCTTTTTCTTCTGTGCAACCTCCTCCTCTGGCTTAGGAACAATCTGCTCCTTTTCAGTGAGGATCATCTCAATGTGGCAGGGGGAGCTCATGTAAGGGTTGATCCGACCATGAGCCCGGTACGTCCGGCGGCGCATCTTAGGGGCTTTGTTCACCTGGATATGCTCAATGACCAGAGAATCAACATCTAAGCCCTGCCAAGAGGGAGAAGAAAATCAGTAAACATCTCTAATTATCTAATTACCTTAACACCTCAAACTGGATCACTGGGAAACACTGATTTCCAACTTTGACTCAACACCATTCTTGAAAGTTCCTTTAAGATGCCACACAGCATATTCAACTGTGTCTAAGTTACCAATAAACTCAGTGTGCTAAATGTTATATGGCCTTCCTAAAGGTCACAAAGAATGGCAAAGAGTTCAGTTTTGACAGCACAGCTTAGAATCATGGTTTGGGCCAGGCTCAGTGGCTCAGCCTGTAATCCTACCACTTTGGGAGACCAAGCTGAGTGGATTGCCTGAGTCTGCGGGTCTTACTTGGTGAGACCGTGTCTCTACAATAAATCAAAAACTAGCCGAGAGTGGTAGTGCGTGCCTATAGTTCCAGCTACTTAGAAGGCTGAGGCATGAAGATCGTGGGAGCCCAGCAGGTCGAGGCTGTGGTGGCTGGGAGTGTACCACTGTATTGCAGTCTGGGCGACAGAGTGGGACTCCAACTCCAAAAAAAATAAATAAATAAAGAATCAAGGTTTGGAGCCTGACAGACCCTAAACTAATTCCAGTTTTGGCCTAGACTGTCAAATGCAAAGGGTAATGGGTAACACTCAAAATGGAGATTTTCCTGTGTTTTGTCAATTTCACCACTGTCTTAACTTCCATCTAACATTTTTCTCCCTAATGTTGGCAGCACACCACATTACCCACTGCTACAGCAATCATTCTGATAATCATACTACTAAAAAAGGGCATGGGACAAGAAAGGTCACATACCCTTGGTAAAATAAAATACCTCCACAGTGTTTAAGACAGCAGCAGCGGGGGAAAAAACTGCTTTTGGCAAGCACTGGGGAAAAGATTAGCAACATGCTTCTGAAAATCTTTATAGACAAAATTCAGTTCTGGAGACTGGAAATAAAAATTTTTAAAATATTGGCCAAGCGCTGCTGTGGCTCACACCTGTAATCCCAGTACTTAGGGAGGCAGAGGCTGGAGCATTATCTGCCCCAGGAACTCCAGGTCAGCCTGGACAACATAGTGAGACCTCATCTCTACAAAAAAACTAGCCGGGTGTGGTGGCATGTGCCTGCAGTTCAGCTACTCTGGAGGCTGAGGCAAAAGGATCACCTGAGCCCAGGAAGTAGAGGCTGCAGTGAGCTGTGATCATGCCACTGCATTCAAGCCTGGGCAACAGTGAGATTCCAACTCAGAATAAAAATTAAAACGGGTGTCAGTGACAAAGCAAGAAAATAATAAAATCCAAGCAGCAGCAACAGAATTCAACAACCGTCCAAACTGTACACTGCACACACACACTATGAACTCTTTGGGTACCTTAAGCTCAGCATTACTCTCTGCATTTTTAAGCATGTGCAGCAAAAATTCAGCACTCTTTTTGGGCCACCGACCCTGTGTCCAGCCCCACTGTTTGGCCTAAAAGAAAATGAAGGTGATTAGTCATTTTTCATTAAAGTTGCATTACAACCGCAGGTAATTTTATCCCGCAACTAAGTTTCTATCGTTTCTAGTCACTGCAACCAAATAGTTCCTACCCACCCAGTCACTTCTCCTCAGATTAGTTTTCTCGATGGCAGCTAAGAACACTCACCTGGGCACACCTTCCAACTCCACCGTTGTAGCGGCGGAATGGCACACACTGTTTCTGTAAGGTGACGTCTTTCAGGTACTTGGTGGCTTTTCGTATGTGCATGCCCTTGATGGCCTGCGCAGTTTCTCGGGTGTTCTGAGTACGAATCACAAAGTGCACATTAACCGCATTAGTGTAATTTTTAAAATAAAGGTTAAACGTGCAACACGGCAACAGACATCAGCAGTGGCAACTTCCTTTGTATTCCAGGGAGGCAATCCAAAAATCTAAGAGCCCAAGGACTTCTCTTTGCAACGGGGGAGAATCAGTCCCGAGCCCCACTGCCTCGGCTCCACGACTCTCGGAATCCTCGCTCCCACAAACCCTGAACCCACTGTCTAGACCGGCGGCTGCTCAGAACGCGTTCCTTTCACGGCCCATCCAAAGGTGTCCTAAGAGGCACATCACCGCAGCCGCGATCTGAAGCCCCGCCGACGCACGCACCTTGAAGTGAACGCGCAGGTTGGAGCCTCGGGACTTGCAGGCTGCAAGACAAACGCCCCGGTTAGCCCAGGCGCCCGTCCGGCTCGCCCCGCGCAGGAGGCGCCCGCCGTGCCCGCCACTCACACTTCGTGGGGTTCTCCGGGTCTAGCGAGTAGCGGACCATTCTGGCGAGTCACCTGGCGAGGGGAGCACAACGCGATTAGCACGCCTCGCAGGCGCGCGCGGGTCCGCGCCGCCCGCCCGCCCGCGGCTGCTCAGAGCGGAGTTGTTTTCACAGTTGATCCAAAGGTGTCCTAAGGAAGCCATCATCGCAGCCGCGCCCGGCCCAGCTGCGCCGCGCCCCGGTTCCCCTCTCCGCGCAGGCGCACACGAGCCGGCCCGCACCGGCAGAACCCTCGGCGCTCCGGAGGCGACGGCAGCTGCTGCCACCTGACCTCCGAGCG